CTAGGTAGGGAACAATAGTTTCCAGTTAGAGGATATATGAAGAAGTTGTGCCCAATAGAGGGTGAAGGGGGGCAATAGTGCCCATCATAGGGTGGTGGAAAACAGGGCCCGGTAGTGGTGGAAGAGGAGCCATAGTGCCCATCAGGAGGTGGGGAAAAGCAACAGTGACCAATAGGGGATGAAGGGGAGCAATAGTGCCCATGAGGGGGGTGGGGGAAACAATAGCACCCAATAGGGGGAAGGGGAGCAATAGTGCCCATGAGGGTGAAGCCCAGTGCGGGGAGGAGCGGTGGAGCCCAGTGCGGGGAGGAGCGGTGGAGCCCAGTGCGGGGAGGAGCGGTGGAGCCCAGTGCGGGGAGGAGCGATGGAGCCCAGTGCGGGGAGGAGCGGTGGAGCCCAGTGCGAGGAGGAGGGGTGGTGCCCAGTGCGGGGAGGAGGGGTGGTGCCCAGTGCGGGGAGGAGGGGTGGCGCCCATGCGGGGAGGAGCGGTGGAGCCCAGTGCGGGGAGGAGCGGTGGAGCCCAGTGCGGGGAGGAGCGGTGGCGTTCAGTGAGAGGAGGAGTGGTGGAGCCCAGTGCGGGGAGGAGCGATGGAGCCCCCGTGCGGGGAGGAGCGGTGGAGCCCAGTGCGAGGAGGAGGGTGGTGCCCAGTGCGGGGGAGGAGGGGTGGTGCCCAGTGCGGGGGGAGGAGGGGTGGCGCCCAGTGCGGGGAGGAGCGGTGGAGCCCAGTGCGGGGAGGAGCGGTGGCGTTCAGTGAGAGGAGGAGTGGTGGAGCCCAGTGCAGGGAGGAGCGGTGGAGCCGTGTGGGGAGGAGCGGTGGAGCCCAGTGCGGGGAGGAGCGGTGGAGCCCAGTGCGGGGAGGAGCGGTGGAGCCCAGTGCGGGGGGGAGGAGCGGTGGAGCCCAGTGCGGGGAGGAGCGGGGGAGCCCAGTGCGGGGAGGAGTGGTGGAGCCCAGTGCGGGGAGGAGTGGTGGAGCCCAGTGCGGGGAGGAGTGGTGGAGCCCAGTGAGAGGAGGAGCGGTGGAGCCCAGTGCGGGGAGGAGTGGTGGAGCCCAGTGCGGGGAGGAGCGGTGGAGCCGTGTGGGGAGGAGCGGTGGAGCCCAGTGCGGGGAGGTGCGGTGGAGCCCAGTCCGGGGAGGAGCAGTGGTGCCCAGTGTGGGGAGGAGTGGTGGAGCCCAGTGCGGGGAGGAGCGGTGGAGCCGTGTGGGGAAGAGCGGTGGAGCCCAGTGCGGGGAGGAGCGGTGGAGCCCAGTGCGGGGAGGAGCGGTGGAGCCCAGTCCGGGGAGGAGCAGTGGTGCCCAGTGTGGGGAGCCGAGCAGGGCCGCTATTAGAAACCACTGGGGCCCGTCCAGCCAACCTGACAGGGCCCCTTCAAATAAACACACTTTATATAGTCCAGTTATGAATGAACACAGTGATGATCGATGCCGATCACTCCTTGTGTTCATTCAGGGAAGGACGGGGCTGGTAAATGCGACATATTCACAGGGTTCCTTCCCCCACTCTCCATCCTGAAGGATCCTATAGAGAAGGTTTTTTCCCAGTGACACCAGCCAGAGAACCGGAAGTGTGGGTGTCACTGGAACAGGAAGGAACAGACATCACGGTCTTTTTTGGGGGGGAGCAAAAGAGGAATGAAAACCTGCCAGAGGATCGAACCCCTCCCCCGCTCTGTGCAAAACCAAAGAAAAAGTTCTGTCTGGAAAAAAAAATTTTTTTTCTAAAAATAGAATCGGGACGAAGTTTCCACAAAGTGAACGTAAAACAATCTGCACAGCGAGATCAGCGGCAGGAAGTCATCGAAGGCGACGCGCAGCTGAGAGCGAAGGAAACCAGATCTCACCTCTTGATAAAAACGCCCCACAGATGGTGAATCATCCTCATTGGATGGAAGTCGTTCTCTTCATCCGAAATAAAACCGATAAACTTCAAACCAGCCGACTGACAATACTTCCTACTCTGTACTGCGCCGCGGTGTATGTCAGAGATACGTACATGTATACTAGTGTGTGACTGTGGGGGAGGGGACATTAGAGTGTAAGCTCCTCTGGTACAGAGACTGATGGGACTGCGGGGGGAGGGGACATTAGAGTGTAAGCTCCTCTGGTACAGAGACTGATGGGACTGTGGGGGAGGGGACATTAGAGTGTAAGCTCCTCTGTTACAGAGACTGATGGGACTGTGGGGGAGGGGACATTAGAGTGTAAGCTCCTCTGGTACAGAGACTGATGGGACTGTGGGGGAGGGGACATTAGAGTGTAAGCTCCTCTGGTACAGAGACTGATGGGACTGTGGGGGAGGGGACATTAGAGCGTAAGCTCCTCTGGTACAGAGACTGATGGGACTGCAGGGGGAGGGGACATTAGAGTGTAAGCTCCTCTGGTACAGAGACTGATGTGACTGTGGGGGAGGGGACATTAGAGCGTAAGCTCCTCTGGTACAGAGACTGATGTGACTGTGGGGGAGGGGACATTAGAGTGTAAGCTCCTCTGGTACAGAGACT